GAAACATCCCACAGAAACAGAAAACAGCTGCGCAGAGGAAAACGTTTAATAAGCACGTAACAGGCATCTAATACGTCCCGGGTATCGGTTTGAGCTTTGACGAGCGTCGAGGGTTCGCGCAGCACGGTCGGTCGGTTAGGGGAATGCCGGGGCGGGGGTAGGAGAACTCGATATCTCATTATCGGTCGATCGTAAATTGAAGTTACCGGTGTGGAGTAACGAGATCTCCAATTATCCCCGGGACAGTATCACCTTGCTCGTCCGTTGTGTAGGTGTTACCGATCCCGCGGAATCCGAAGAAGGAATAAAAAGACTCAGAAATAATCGAAAAGAAAGAAGAAGGCAGCGAAAGGAGGAAAGAAAAAATAAGAGAAGACTATTCGGCAACGGGTATCAGCGAGCGGTTCTTAGCTCCTCCGGCCGGAATGCTCGGATTGCGAAAGACAATGTCGGTCGAGCTTCGCTAAGAGAAAAATAACGGTCTCGTTGTCTCGCTGGCAATTTCCTCTTGCCTCCCTCCCTCCTTCCTTCTCGATCCCTGTAGCTGTCTCGTATGGCGGGGTGTTCCAGGCTGCCTCTCTCCACGGCGGAAAATCAAAAAGCTTTCGGTTAGGTAGACCTTCGAGGACCCTCGTCCTGCTAGTACCTGACGGCAACTCTTCAGCCTCAGTTTCAATACATCGCGCTGGCATCGAGCTCGAGTGTTGCAGCAAGAAGCAGGCAGGTGGGTGCCGTCGGCTCGTCCTCTCCGTCAACCTCTCTCCGTCTATCCTTACCTCGACCCCGTCGCGCCCCGTTCGTCTTCTCCTCCGCCAGGCCTATCCCCTATCCCCTTTCAATCCCATCCACTGTCACAGGCGCGTCTCTTCCGTCTGATCGCTGGCTATCCCTGACTTCGCGACCGTTTCTCCCCTGTATCGGTGTATTGGTAATCCATAGGAGGAAGCCACCCGCTCCCCCCGTGTCTCTCTGTACCAACAGCTACGTCCAACTCGCCAGTGTACTCGCGTCGCAACCTCTTTCTACCGTCATTGTGTCCCGCTCGCGCCGAAGTATCGCGTTTATTCGCTCCTCTGTCTGTCTCTCTTTCTACCCTACCCCTTGCTGGTTCCTCCCTTCCGAGTTTTCCGGCTGCTCCCGTCGCACTTTATATATTGGCCGTCCCTCTCTCTCTTTATTCCCATTCCCATTCTCATCCTCTTGTTTTGGTCCAATAGTCAGTCGCCGGTCTGATCGATGATACGCCAACAGCCAGTACTGCGCATGGCCGACTAAATACAAACTCACTCCTTATTATACCGGGTGTGCCAATAAAGGGGGTGGCGGCGGGATGGCGCGGAGAATGGGAAGGACGAGGTGGTGGAATCGAGATGGGAAAGAGGAGGCGGCGGAGGAGTCAGGAAAGGAGGGTTAGAGAAGCGAGGAGCACGGCGTTCAGGAGTTCTCGCTCCTTCGAGTCGACGAACGCCACCATAAAGGATCCTCTTCCTCCTCGTTGCTGCTACGACTGCTTCTCTATTCCCCCACCCATCGTCCCACCCGCTCGGAGACTCCTATATATCTATATGCCTATATACATCTATACATATACTAAACACACACACGCACACGCACACGCACACGCGCGCACACACACACAC